TTTCTCCTTCCTTTGGATTTATCCAGTATTTTTTTGTGATTCTATTTTACCTTTGTTAGTTTAGCTATAACTCTTTGTTTTATTATTTTGGTGTTTACTTTAGGTTTTCAGTATTTATCTTTGGCTTAACACAGTCTGCTTTCAGGTGATATATTACCTTACGTATAATGGAAGAGCTCTGCTTCTGTTTCCCACTTTCCAGCCTTTGTGCTATTGTCATATATTTTATTTTTACATAGGCTGTGAACCCCATATTATATTATAATTATTTTTTCTTAATTAATTATATTTTAATGGGATTTTAATTATGAGAATAATATGTATTTACCCATGTAGGTACCATTTCTGCTGTTCTTCTTTAATTTGTATAACTCCATATTTCCATCTGGTGTCATTTTCCTTCAAACTAAAGTAATTCCTTTCACATTTCTTTTAGTGTGGGCCTGCTGGTGATGAATTTTTCATTTTTTATGTGTATGCTCTTCTTGAGGTTATCCCTGGGACACAGTTAAATTACTTGGAAACAGTTTGATTTTTTGGGGGCTTTGTTCTCAGGACTTGTTAATTGGGACCAGGGCAGTCCTCATTTTTGGGCTACTTATTCCCTACTCCACAGGCAAGATCCTTCTTGTACTGTGCCCAATTTACCCAGAATTATGAGATTTTCCAGCCTGGCTGGTAGGCAGAGGAAGTGTTTTATACACTGTGTGAATGCTGGGTACTGTTATCTCTTATCTTTTTGGGTGGTTCTTTCCCTGGCCTTGCGTAGTTTCCTTACAAGAATTTGCCAATAAGTACTCAGCTGAACATTCGAGGGCACTCTGTAGATCTTCAGAGTTCTGTCTGTATGCAGCTATTTGGTATGCTGTCTTGTTAACTCCAACTGCTGCTGTGGTTTCTCTAGACTCTGAGTATCCATCTCCACGATTCAGAGTCTGCTGGGCCCTGCCTAGGTTCTTCATCCCTGCGCTATGGTCTAGAAACTTTTTCAAGGCTGGAGCAATCAGCCTTGGTGAAAGCCTTACACCTTTCAAGGCTGGAGGTGTAAGGCCACTCACCTCATTTGTTTTCTGTCTTTAAGGGATTGCTGTGCTTTGTTGTCTGGTGTCCAGTGCCTTGCAAACTATTGTTTCATTTATTTTGTTCATTTTGTGGTTGTTTTAGGTGGGATGCTAAATCCTTTCCCATTACTCCATCTTGGCTGGAAGTGGAAGAATTTTTTTTATTGTCATTCTTAGCAAATCTCAGTGTTTTATGATACTCATTAATTCAGAATTTTAGTGTATTTCCCTAAGTGGAGGTCACAGAGAGTGGAATTCAGTCTCTGGCAATTGGAAATATTTAGTGGCTGGATCTCAGACTGTGGCCTCAGAAACATAATTTGTCTGTTCACTTTGAATAAATCACCTCTCAGAGTAAGGTACACATCAGCCTGAGTTACAGACACTGACACCCAAAGGTGAATGCTGGCCTGTTACAATGTAATAAGAAATATAACTGTCATGGGACTGACATTCATGTCTTGTCCAGTGGAATTTTTTTATATAGGTAAGCTATGCTTGAAATAAGTAGTAATCAAATAATTTCTTAGTGTCGAATTCTAGCTCAGCTTAAGATAGCCTGATGCACCTACATATGTTCATTAGGCTGTTTCCCTCCTACAGATTGTTCTTATATGTATACTGGCAATATTTGCCTTTCTGACCAGCCCCATTTGGATTTTATACCGTCTTCAAATATTTTAATATCTAAAGTAGATGAATACCTAAGATCATGTCTTGATGGCCAAAAATTCATCTTGTCTTTAATGTGACGTTTCATGATCTTTTTTTGGATACATTGTGTTGATTATAGCCTAACTTTGACAGCAGCCCTATTTCCTCTTTGGGCAGATCTTTCTTTGTGAAACCATCTCACTGTTACTTTCATATATCATATATGCCTGTCAGGGACCCTGGCTTGGGGCCCTTAGTGAAGCCCTCCCATTTTGGGCTGATTATGGTTTGATTGCAGCTCTGCATCTTTCTCAGGTGAAGCCCCAGGAGACAAGACCCTTGGCCCCAACCACTGCTAAGTTCCCTTCCTCTGCTGCCTCCAAGCTGGGGAGGGAACATAAAGCCTGAGATCTCCCCAGAGAGGCAGAATGGAGCCTGGGGGTGCCAAGCTGTGATCTTCAGCCAGCACACAAGTGGGAGAACAGCCCACACTTTCAGAGCATTGATAGGGGGCATGATGGCAACCATTGCTGTGAGCCGAGATTGTGCCACCACATTCCAGCCTGGGCAACAGAGTAAGACTCCATCTCAAAAAAAAAAAAAGAAAGAAAATACAGAGGAGCCACATGAGTGAGCAAGAGCCTACCCACTCACCAATACACTTGTTAACATACCCCACTTTGAAACCCAAAGCAATAATTTAGCTACAAATAAAGACCTTGCAGAAAGTTTCAGCCCTCTGAAAACATCCTGAAAAGAAATCTACTGACTCTATTCAATTTACACCTCAGGTAAAGGAGCACCCACATACACAGAGGAAAAAGAACCAGTGCAAGAACTCTGACAACTCAAAAGACCGCACAGTGTCTTTCTTCCTCTAAATGATCACACTAGTTTTACAGCAAGGGTTGTTAACTGGACTGAGATGGCTAAAATGGCAGAAATAGAATTCAGAATATGGATAGGAAAGAAAGACCATTGAGATTCAGGAGAATGTCAAAATTTAATCCAAGAAATTTAAGAATCAGTAAAATGATACAAGAGCCGACAGACAAAATAGCCAGTATAGAAAAGAACTTAACTGGATTTGATAAAGCTGTAAAACACACTACAATAATTCATAATGTAATCAAAAGTATTAATGGCAGAAGAGACCAAGCTGTGGAAATACTCTTTTTTTTAATCTTTGTTTTTGGAAAGAGCATGAAGACTGGCTTTCTGAAATAAGACAGTCAGACAAAAATAAAAGAGAAGAAGAAATGAACAAAACCTCGAAGAAATTTGGCATTATGCAAAGAGACCAACTCTATAACTCATTGGCATCCCTGAAAGAGATGGGGAGAAAGCAAGCAAGTTGGAAAACCTCTTTCAGGATATCTTCCATGAAAAATTCTTCAACCTCACTAGAGAGGCTGATATTCAAATTCAGGAAATACAGAGAACCCCTGCAAGATACTGTACAAAATGATCATCCCCAAGACACAAAATCGTCAGATCCTCTAAGGTCAAAATGAAAGAAAAAATGTTAGAGGCAACTAGAGAGAAAGGTCAGGTTACCTCCACAGGGAGCCCCATCAGGCTAATAGTGGACCTTTCAGCAGAAACCCTAAAAGCCAGAAGAGATTGGAGGCCTGTATTCAATATTCATGAAGAAAAAAAATCTTCAACCAAGAATGTTATATCCAGCCGAACTAAGCTTCATATGTGAAGAAGAAATAAGGACCTTTTCAGACAAGCAAATGGGAAGGGAAATTGTTACCACCAGACATGCCTTAGTAGAGCTCCTGAAAGAAGCACTAAATATGGAAAAGAAAGACTGTTACTAACCTATACAAAAAACACTTAAGTACACAGACTAATGACAGTATAAAGCAGCCACACAAACAAGTCTGCATAATAACTGGCTAACAACCCAATGACAGGATCAAATCTACACATATCAATACTAATCTTTTTTTTTTTTTTTTTTTGAGAGAGTTTCCCTTTTTTTTCCCAGGCTGGAGTGCAATGGCACGATCTCGGCTCACTGCAACCTCT